CTTATTGCAGAAAAAAAAACTATTTCCCTTTTCCATAAAATACACCATCATTGCCGCAGTTTGTGAATTGATATTTAAAACTGTTATACAGTGATTAAAAAATCTATTACAAAACATGTGCGTGTGTTGTTACATTTGCAGAGTGTTGTGCTGAAAAAAGTGTAAGGCTCAATACTGCAGTTCTGTTGATGAAGTCAAGCATGGCAAAATTGATTTTAAAATAAAATAATAAATAACCAGTTAGATGATTCTAAAATCTATTTTAACAACTAGCAAAGCAGATGTTGCATCAAAAAAAGAAGTTGTGAAATACTGACCCTGATAACAGTAAGAAAAAACTTTTTCAATTCAACCTTCTTTCCTACACTACATCTCTTTACTACTTTCAAATCAGCTTAAAAATTTGACCTGATTTGAAATGTATCTGACTTTAGGGACTTTAAACCTATAAGTTGAATTTATACAAAATATATTTTTTCCACAGACATAAAAGAAAAGAACATTACAAAACAAGCTTTGAAACTATCTTTCTCTTTATTGAACTGTTTAGATTCTACAAAATAAATAATGTATTTAGGTAAATAAATTTGTTATTTGTGATATGTCAATGTAACTTGTTTTCTTATTACTGCCATTAACTACAAATATCCAAAAATCTCAACACACAAGCTTAGCAGATGCATGCCAAGTACACAAAAACTATTGGCATTCTTCCGCTAAAAAACATCAGCTCAGTTAAAATTTGATAACCATCTCACTAAAGTAAAAATATACATTGTTGTACTTTAACAGACCAAAAAACTGTCTTGCATTAAAAATAAATAAATAACACTTATAAGATTTTAGATAGCTGCTAGAAGTAGAGAGAAAATTTACCTTAGTATGAAACTATGATTTCTTTTCTTAAAAATTAACTTAAGTAACTAGATTTCAGCAACTCAAAAGCTGAAGTGGAACATTAGACTTATAAACATTTGCTACAATCATTATTTTTACTTCTACAATGTTAGTTATTTAAAAATGTAATATTAGTCAATTTAGTAGATAAAGTTACTTATAACCCTGAATATCATTTACTAATGCATTGTTGGAATGCAAAAATAATTATCTGCTTTTACATATGAGCAGGAAAATAAAGCCATTGAAGGGACTTGGTGCCTGACTAGCAATCTATAAAGACGTCTCTTTCCTCATCTTTTATGGCTTGAAAGATACAGGTTCAATATGGCTATATCTGATGATGCACTGACATTCAAGTAACAGGAATTTTAATTCCTTTGTCAGCATCTCTCTTTGCTTATTATTTCCAATGTATATGAACTTACTTAACAACATGGACAACTTAGTTTTTAGTATATTTTTCTAAGACATGGTCTTGTATTAGTATATTTTATATAGATATTGTATTACACATTTAATGTGGAGTTTCTTGCCTTTTCACACCATTATATTTCAGTGTTAGTTCAGACAACAGGCTCTGCTAATACTAGCTAAGAATTTTTGGGGTGGAATGTTCCTTTTCCTTAACCAATCCTTACAGCATGAAGTGACTACTGGATAAAAAACTTTTATTTATTATGTTAATATTATTGTCTTTGTGAAGTTACAGGTAACAACAATTAAAACGAAATAAATATTCCAGTATTTTTAACAAATATTTTATTTATATCAGTTCTTAGCATCATTATTCAGACACCAACATATTTCCTTTAGCTTTCTATGACCTTACACAATCTTGTTTTGAAGTATTCTTTCAGTACTCTTTCAATATCATGAACTTGTTAGAACTGCTGGTTAGACATCATGTATTGCATGAAGCAAAACAAGTGATAGTTTGCAGGTGAGAGGTCTGGGGAAGATGTCACATCTAATCTTCCCATCTCATAGGGATTTTTCTATAAGCAACAAAAAATATCAATTCACACTTTTTAGGTGCATATTAAAAATGACTTTTACTCAGTGTGAAATTGAAACAGGAAGAAATTATTTATTTACAATAATTAATGTGAAAAAATAGGATGTAGAGTCTTGCTCCAAATATTTGTTTGAACACCTAAAGAAATTAGATAGAAAAAATGTTCATAAAAATGGGGGCTTACTGTTGAAGTACAAGCTATAAATGTCCTTAGTAAAGAACATAAGATGCTAGTGAAGTTCACAATGTATTGTCAAATTTTGTTGAGCCATGTGTGAGTTTATTGTTCATCAGAGGAGGAGTCTCTGTTGAATGGAAAGAGTTGATGTATGAATGTTGTTTGTGTTAAATTTTCAGAAGCTGGTACAGCTTTGTAGAATTATAATTGAAGAGAGTATGTTGACATCACATTATTAAGGGAACCTTGGCCCAGTTGTGTTTGTTTTAGACAAGCTTGTTCAAAATTATCTGTTTTAAATTTTTGTATGCTGTCCTGGAGTTTTTTTTATAGGTCTTAGGATATTTCAGAATCCAGTGTTCTATTTTTTCACCTCACTGCTAAGATGAATTGTTACACTGACCTCATCTCTTTTGACTTCTCACACACAAACAGTACTGTGATGAATAGTGATTAAACTGGCTGATGGCCTCACTGTGCAGAAAATATCCTCTTACCTTGTTTTAAGCTGAAAACATGTATTTGCTGGTGTCATTCACAATGAAGGAAGTACTCATTATTCCACTGTGGAACTGAGGCCAACTGTATCTATCACATATAACACTTGAGAGAAAAACCCAGATTTATTGGTTAGGGGATTTGAATATGTGTGTACAAACTGGCATATGGCTAGTGGCAAGAAGCGAATGTGACAGATGTGGCAAAGGGACAAAGTAAGCAGTAACAGTATGACCCTGTGAACTGTTTGTCTTCATTCTGAGAAAAATTTTGGGTGAAATTGTAATCACCCTCTTGCAAATGAAACTGTGCCCTCTTGTTTGAGTCTACTTCCTGTAATCCTACACTCGATTATATCGTGATCACTGATTCTCTAAGTTACTTTTTGAACTTATCACATATTTCAAATTCTGTCATTCTGATTGGTTGAAAATAATCTAGAGAAGGAGTCCTCCTCTCAAGCCTTTTGTATGTCAAATATCACCATAATCAGGCTAAGAAGCAAGCCTTATCAAAAAAGCCCTGTCCAAACACCTCATTGGTTGGAAATGTCTTCACTCTAGGAAGTGGAAAGTGGCAGAGAATCATATTTTTTTCATATTACTCTTTTTACGTATCTACGATTGTTATGTTTGTTGTGTCTCATTTGTAACAGATGTTGTCCTGCAGCAAAATCACTGATTGACTTCTTAGCTAAGAAAAATGTATTTTGTGTTTGAAAGAATGCATCATTGACACATTGCTCACTGTAACATTGCACAGTAGTTGTTAGTAAAAGGCATGCTAGAGGTGACTAGTTACAGAGGAAAGTGCTAAATACATTACAGTAGTATTATGATATTTCTTAATATTGGGCAAAAACAAGGCAATGCAAACTTTTGCAGCACCTTCTTTTAACAAAATAGACTAAAATAAGTCTGCATGTATGTATCATTTGTATTGAACTGACATGAAGTTTGCCACACTTGCCCAAAGCAAACAACAAAAATCATGGTTATTGGCAGAAGGTAAATCAAAAAAATGTTTTAAATGAATATGATTGGCTGAAACTTGTAAAGAATCAGAATTATTTGAATTCAGTTTTGCGTGAACTAATTCAATGGATTTAATAAAAAGTGAAAATATGTGATTACTGTATATCTAATTACACATTGTATTAATTTATAAAGAAAGGGATGGGTTTTTAATTTATTAATCCAACTGATTTTATTACTTAAACGTTATTTTTAGTATGTGAGTAGATGCTCTGTTTATTTATTAAACAGTATATTTATTTATATTTATCTATTTTCGTCTATCAGCCTGAATATTTGAGAAATCTTATTAGAGAAAAATATGTGCTCTTCAGCAGGATTCAAACCCCACATTCCCCTAGGGGAAGTTGTTGTTACATCCAACATACTTTAGACCTCTCAGCCATGGAGTACATTGATGGTCAAGTAAAATTGAAATTTTGTAAATTTTTGCCACAGAATGTTTAAACCATCTGTGTTTATTTTGACAGGGTTTTACAACATCAATTTGGAGCCTCTTTTTCAAATCTTTACACATCAATTTTTATTCATATTCTTTTTTTTAATAAACCGTCTGAATTCATTTTGATTTCTTTTAAATTAGTAATATCCTAATTTTCTTAATTACTTTTTCATATAATTCAATATTATTTGTGTTATTAAAAAAAATTTTTTTATTAATTATACACATTCTAAAATTTTCTTAGTTTTTCATACAATTTTAATATTATCTTTTTTATTAAAATAATTTTGATATTAATTTTTACACATTCCAACACTAATTATTTTTCTTATACAATTTTGAAATTTTCGTTTTTTAAAAAAATAATTTTTCTATATGTTCGTGCACAATATATAATTAGTTTAGAATTGTTTTTTTTCTTCTGATCTATCTCTCTATCTATCTACATAAAATGTAAATATTTCTAAAGATTTTTCCTACATGTTTGTTTCAGTAAGTTATTCCGTGTGAAAATGGATAAAATTGCGTTTTATTGCCTCTCAAGAACGCTTTTTCCAAGTTATTTTGTAATTAAGATGTCAAAAAATTGCTATTTTTTTATAAAATCTATACGCGATAAATCAGTTATTTACAGTAGAAGTAAAATTTAAATGATGAAGAGAAATCAATAGTTTATTTTAACAACGCAAAAAGGAAGAAAAGTATTTGTAAATGAAATTTTATCAAGAAATGAACAGCATGTCGTCTGCTATTCAAAGTCTTTTAGGTCACGTGATATCATGGCGGATGTGACGTCATTAAGAGGCGAAATATGATTTCTCCAGTGGAGAACGAATTGAACAGTCATAATTTTTGTAAACAAAGTTTAACAAGCAATTTTTTGTTTAAATCTTCACTTTCATTATCGACATAATAGTGTATTTTTAACACATAATGAGGGAACCCTTTTTCTCAACGTGCGAGAGAGAATTTATTCTTCGTGCAATTGGAACGAAATTGGTGAGTAGTAATTTCATTCATTTTTGTTTCAAGAAAGAATTCTGAAACCACTTATCTTAATCTTCTTATTGATTACTCGTTTTTATGAGATTTTGTAGCCGAATATATCTTGATTAACTTCTTAAAATCAATTATTGATTGTTAGTGACTACAAAAATGTTTATTTATATGAAAAGAAAATAACTTGCACGTGTTTTACAGTTGTGTTTAAACTTGCAACTTTTGTATGTTGAACACGTGGATCTTGCTGGGAATTAGGTGTTTAATTTTGTTTCCTTTAAATAAACCGAAAGAATTGTGTATTTTAGATATATGCATAAAAAAAAATAACCAATTTATTAAGGAGTCGTAACCCTTTCAACCTAAAATGGGATAGAAATTGAAATCATTAAAAAAAATTAACCTAACTAAAAACCAGCGTTTTTTCGGAGTAAAATATCCATGATTATTGTTAATCATAATTTAAATATTTTTAAATTTGTTGAATAATTGGAATTTATCATCTTTAGCATCAAAATAGTGTTTTTATTTTTATTATCTCCGACACATTCGGTCAAAGATGTAAAGAAGTTGATTGAAGAAGTAAGAATGAAGAAGAGACTTTTTTAGTTTTCTTTTAGGGAAATAAATAAACCTGGAACTATGATGCTATTTATTTTTTATGACTTCTGTTTTTTAACTAATGAACAAAGTGGAGAATTTGTTTTTCTTTTTAGAGTTCAACAGAGCAAATTCATAAGGTATAATAAAATTTAAAAAATAGCTTCAGAAATGTGATTGGTATGTCCAAAGAAGAGAAACTAAAATTTAGTTTTTTTTGTTTTATATTTGTTTATCATTTAGTTACTAAATGATAAACAAATATAAAACAAAAAAAAAGGAAAACTTCCGTCCAAGTCGGTTGCAATAAAGTCGTTATTGACTCATTGATTGAGGGAAATTTTTAAGAATTAGTTTAAAAGTTTATTAACGTAATATATGGTATATATTTTTCTTTTACAATTTCAAAATAGTACATTTAAAAACATTTAAAATGAAGTTTAGGTTCTATATGTGGATGACTATCGCAGAAAAGAAAAAGGAATCGAAAACTGAGTTCAAACTCCAGCTCGGACAGTTTGTGCGTTCACTTCGCATTATTGGATTGGGTAAGGCCAAAATATACTCTGCATTTTCATGGGTAAATTATAGCAGGCAGTTGGAGCCCCGTAAGCTAGTCTAATTTGGGCTTCTTCTGGACATACAATCTGGCCGCGCATTAGAAGTTAAAAAAGCCACTTGCTTGACCACTGAAACCGCACTTACTTGCGGCCCTATACAATGAACACTGAATAAAATAAACAACCCTTCGAAACTATCTCTCATCAGGTCTGTTTTAAACTTTCTGCTTCAAGGGGACTTCGGTGACTTTTTGCACTACTTCTGTTGACAAAAATCTAACATTTTTAACCTCAACTTGAGGTTAAAAATGTTAGATTTTTGAATTTTTAAGTTTGGTCAATGGTACGCCATTGCATACGTTACAATAAATTTCATTAAATCATTAATAGAGCATATTTTATTTTTGAAGCGCCCGTGCTCTACAATGTTACTATTCAAATAATTTATTTGCAAGTGATTTGGAGAGTTTTGAATTTAAGAGTTTAAAAAATGAAAAAAAAAAAAAAAATAAATAAATAAAAATAAAATGCTTTCAAATTGTAGCTACTTAAAGTTAGTTATGTCCCTTGCAAACTTTCTAGTCAAGATACAAATTTACTTTTTTTTTTAAATTCTGTTGAAATTATTATTACTGTTAGTTATCTCATGTTTTAGAGAATACAAAAACAGTTTTATTATTTCTGGTTTAAAAGGTATTATTTAAACATTTTGTGTGTAAATCATTATTACTGATTTCTTTTTAAAGAAAAGAGAAAAATGGACATTTATTTAGTATTTTAACTTTAAATGTGTTTCTATTCACACTTTGACTTCTAAAATGATAAAATATTTTAATTAAAATAATTAAATTGTGTAGTAGTTATATTTTAACAGTAGCACTAACAGCTTTTATATAAATCATTGATTTATGGAACTGGTATGTTTTTTTATGTTTTTCTTTTAAAATTAATGTAAAAATAGATTTTGGTACATTTGAAACTTAGCCTGGTTTCTATTTCGATTCTGATTATCAGCTCTATCGTCATCACATTTCTACTCATTCACTTTCTTGCCTTTAGGGATTTTCAAAGGTAAATGATGTATTTTACACTGGGATTTTACATTGTCATGACTTGATCTATATTTATTAGTAATTTCATTGATTTTTATCAACATAGCTAGTTAGTTAAGCATACATATATTCATTTGCAACCTAAACATTTAAAAAATAAAAAAATCATTATTTAAAAATAGTTTGCATTCTTTCTCTTCATTCCTTTCACACACACTATTTTGTTCCCGACAACTGAGAAATACCTATTTGTTTTCCAACCATTTTAACTATGATATAGGATGTTTTTAATATTATGCTGCATGAAAATACCTATATCCTGAAAACAGTCCTTTCTTTTTAGTTTCTATTTTTCTCTGTGTAATAATGCACTTTAATGTTCCATATTATTGCTTAATTCATAAAAATTGACTTAGAGCAGAATGTGAAGAAACCTATTTTTTATGTTGTTAGTGTAAGAGTTCACAAATTTTCTTCTGATTTTGTTTTTAACTAAATTTCACCCAATACAAGGCTCTAGGGCCATTTAAAGTAGAGGATTACAGTACAGTCGAAATGAATTTGAATGTCTTGGTCAAGTTTCTAGATTGTATTACTTAAAAATATAATGACATGTTGTTAACTATACATGAATTACAGAACAAATAGTAATTCTCTTGAAAGCATTGAACAATTTTTGTATTTCTGAATTCACACAGAGGCACTAAAGTATTTTACTATTGCTTTGTTTCTTTCTGTCAGTAACTGTGAGACACTATTATTTTTGTTCTAGTGCAAGTCTGTTACTTTTATTCTAATAGAACATTTCATGGTTATGATACCAAATTATATCTTATGATCAGTGTTTATACATATTATAGACACATACATCAAAAAATAAAAATGTTACTCATATTGCATTATTGACACTTAATGACATCTTACATATTAAAAACTGATCTGCAACTTATATTTTGAATGAATCCAATAATATACATGATTATCTTTCTCCATTTGAGTAAGACTAGACTACTTGTGACCTGTTGGGTCATTGACAGTTCAGATTATAAAACATTGAAGTTGATTTCAACATTCCATTGAAATGAAAGTAAATTTTATTATGATTCAGTTAAATATTTCAATTCATTCGTGTCATCATTGGTTTGGTTTACAAGTTCATGTTTAATGTTTTACTGATTGTTTACAGCATTTAATAGGAATGGAACTTTGGGGATAGACTTGAACTTTAAATCAGATTAACTTAAAAATATTTTTTAATATGCCAAAAATATTTTACAGTCATATTCATTTGAAAATATTTTTTAAATGTATAAAATATTGTTTATTTAAGGAAAGCTGAAATATAAATAATTACTCTACAAACAACCTGATGAAACAGCAAAGTGGAATCTCTTTGTTTGTGTCTGTCTTTAACTTAAAAGTATTTTAATTAAAAAAAAATTGTCTGTTTGAAGAAAGTTAAAATAAAATACTATATAAACAACTTGTATTTTAAATCTTATTAACTTAAATCATTATGCTCTAGATGGACACATCATGCAAGCAATCACAGACTCTTAGTATAATATAGATAAATATTGTCTTTTATTTTAAAATTTCTGCAAGAAGTGTATCATTTTTTCTCAGTCTATTTTGGTTTAGATGTTTCCAGTCTTAGTTATTAAACTGAAGAGATTCTAATTTTGGGATTCTACTTAAGATTTAATGTCATGGTGTCTATGTCTAAACTCCAAATATATAGCTGTAGCATCCTATTGGCAAAATCAAAATTGGTTGAAGGATACAAAATCTTTAAATAAAGCAAAAGAAAAAACATAACTCAGCATTTTATTCATCATGAGAAATATATGCTGTCAAATTTTATTATTCAAGTCAATGTTTTAAATCAAACTGGCATTAACCAATCAATGTTGGTAAATTTTTGAGGTATATATCTACCCTTATTAAAAATACTGATAACTTGTTTTGGGTGTGTCAGGTTTTATTATGCGAATAAACTAAATGTAACATTTTTTTTATCTATAAATCTAAAAGTTACAGGTCATAGAAATATATATTTGACTAACAAAGTATTCTTTATACTTGAATAAATTATTTTGTATGTTAATATAGGTTTCTTACTGTTCTATAAACTTCATCAATCTTTCATATATTGATTGTAACATTTCTATTCTTTCAGCTTTAATATAATTGCAGTGGTTTTTATTGCTTCCTAGAAGTCTTTGCTCTCTGAACCTTTTCATAATTTCCAATATTATGTTCCCACCACTCAGTAATTTAACAATATCTTGTTTTTATTTTAAGATTAAAACTTCTTGTCCATAGCAGTTGTATATCTAAAATTATAAAATGAATATTGATAACTATATTATTATATCTATATATTTTCAATATGATGAACAATCCTTAATTTGCACATTAAAATTTCATATTACCAAATAAGTTGTTGCAAATATTTCTAATAAAACATAGTATAAGCTGAAATATCATATTTATCATATAATATTTAGTTGGATATTTTACTAGCCATAGTTGGTTAATACCAATTTTATTGAGAAACATTGACTTACATAATATGTGTGGTATTTTTATTTATGGATATCTAGTTAACACAGAAGATATGCTAAACAAAAACCTCTGAAATAATTGTAAGCAATCAAAAGATCTATGGCAGAAAGAGAAACATGCAGGAATTAAAAAGAAAACTGTAAAGTATAGACACAACATCCTGAAAGATGGAAGAAATAATAGAACAGAAAAATGTACTTTTTCAGATGATATATAAAAG